CGCCCATGTTCTCGGATAGCAAAGGGTGATTACCTATGACACGGAGTATACCGAAAGGCGTATCTCTTCAAGTCGTCTTAAGATGCCGTTCATAGCAGTGATTTAGCCATTTTCGATCAGCTCAAATAGGAACAATTTCAGTTCGTTTTTGGAGCTGTATTCACACAGCTATGCATCGGGTCGCGATGTCAATCTCATTCCATCTAGATGATGCGGTTTTGGTGGAAAGTCAGTCGAGAAACCATTCTTGTCTCTATATTGTTCTCGCAAAAGGAAGCAGGGCGCACATAATAGGTCGTCAATGGCATAGCTTCCAAGCCAGGCCCTGCCATGAGCGCGGTACAGTAGCAATGATACTTCTGCGAATATGTCGGGAGCGCTGTCTTGATCTGTAAGAGCGCCATCCGGGAAGAGGTAGGGCTCGGCGTCGTAGAAGAGCTCGTCAGTTGTAGAGTCGGCCGTTTCGTGGTTGTCTTCGATGTAACATGTGCCCGTGTACGCGGGCGGATCTGTTGCTTTGAAGGCAGCATGCAGGCTATCAGCCTTTTCGCAGACGCAACCAAACCGGTGGTTGGTTTTGATACACTCGGTGACGGCTATGCGAATAGGTGAGACGAGAGCACTTGGAAGGGACTTGTAGTCATCTCCACAGGAAGTACAAGAACTACCTTTCAATTGCATGATACTGCTTCCACTCATCGTACTCCGGTAAAAAAGTGCATCAAGGAATAGAGCTCGTGTATAGCCTAGTTGCTGCTGACATTGCTCGAATTCCAGTCGAACGTAGGTCTCCAGGTTCTCAGTCGTTTCAAGTACCGTGCTACACCATGCTGTATAAATGGTGGGAAGTGCCTGTAGATACTCCCTATGACTTAGGTCGTCATGTAACCAATCGAATCCTGGCATCTGGCAAAAGGATCCTGCACTAATTACCATGGGTATCAACACTCGACCGCAGACTCGAAAAGCGAGCAAAGTGCTAATAGCATCTATTCTCTTTCGACATGTCGCTTTGTATTCGCAATCAAAGAGTCCCAGAATCCGGTCCAGAAAGCGGCCATCTCGCATGTGGCAAAGCACTGTTCGGACAGCGTGCTGCAAACCACACCATATTGTCTGCGAGTTGAGTTGGACGTACAGTTCAGTCGGAGCACAGTGAAACAGCCACGTGATGCTGTTTTCCGAAATGGGTACACTTTCTTGCGCATATGTCCTTTTAAGCCACTCATGCACTGTCCAACCGTCGCTCTTGGGATCTGTCAGCTCGATACAGTCGGAAAATAGTCGCAGCATGGAAATCTTGACATCGGCATGTATATCCTGCGCTAGTGCGACAAAGAGGGTGATGGGAGAACTATATAAGGTTAGCGTCACTTGCGCTAGAAACAGCTAAAGGTAACTCACAGTATAGCTTCAGTTGGTCCTTCGTATACCAACGCTGATTTATCGGCACCAGCTTCGATTAACATGGCGCAAAGATCAACATGGCCACCAGCTGCCGCAAACTGCATCTCTCATTAGCGTATGTAACAGGCGGTAACCCGGACGGGTTCCAAGAATGGAGTGGACTTGCATGTAAAGGCTTCCAGCCTTTGGGACTGGTGTCAACCACACTCCCAAGCCTTTTACTGAGCAGTATTTCTACAGCTCGAGTTTGACCTGTCCGGCAGAGCTCAAATATCAGGGAATCTTCTGCGACGGCGCGGGTCACTGTCAGTTTACAGTTGAACAGCCAGCTTCGGCCAGCAGCGGCCATGATCGCTTCCAATCCGTTGCGGACACCTAACCACTGGATCCAGGTATTGGGGTAGAATATGTAAGACGTGACACATTTTGTCTCTTCGTCCTTATTATGTGCCTTTCCCGGAAGATGAAGTTTGGTCTTGCGCTTCCATAAACAGCCAAAAGCAGTTCGGAACCCCGTCACATGGTGGCTGACACGATACTGCAAGTTGTCTGAATAGACGAATGTTCGTGCTCGAGAAAATCCGTTGCAGTCTACCGTGTAACCATCCTGAGCGAAGATTTCAAGCGAATTGGATTCGAATTTAGAGATCCCAATCTGCTCAACCGCCTTTAACATCAGCTCCTGCAGCTTCACTATGGTCATGGCCTGTTTCGAGACGTTCTTCTCGAAATCCATGAGCATAGTTTTTGCTGTTTTGATTTCTCCGACTGTGTTCTTGCCCAGAATATTCTGCTCCACATAGATTGGTGGAGGAGGCTGTTCACCTCTGATGGATGCTCTATCGTCTGCGGGTCGCTCCGACAGCAGGTGTATGTTGAGTTCGTCGCGGTCTGGGTGATGCTGAGAGCCAAGGAACATAGTTGTATGTATCGGAACAGTAGTAGCATATGGCTGAGATTGTACCACACTTTTGAGAAGTTAGTACCACTATATGGCACCGCCACAGGAAAGGAATTATGAGCACACCTTTGATGTACAAGCGCAAGAGTCAAAGTCAATTTCGTCTCACTCAGTGAGTCGCGAAACTTTTGAATATGCTTACTATGACTGGCGGCTTTGAAAGCAGCCCATTTCCGTCTCTTGCGCGATGAGGACTGAAACCCTTCATCAAAATCTGCCACAATGGTGTTGAGTTCCTGGATTGTCAGAACGCAGTAAGTTTAGAATTGAAAAGTAACGCACAAGAAGTTTGCCCCAGCAATGCTGTATCCCCTCAGCTACGCATTCCCCGACTGCGCCCTTGGTGGATTGAATCTTTTTGAATACTGAAATGAGATATTGGAGATCCTCATTGATGGCTGCAATGTCTTGTGGTGCGTCTTCAACAGAATTCCAGAATTTGTATAGCTTCATGAATGACTCGGTGAGTTGAATGGCAACCGAGACTACAGCTAGGCCTAAGACTTGTCAATATCTGGCCATAAGGAAAGTAGCCAGTTGTGTTACGACTTACCGTTTGCCGCCACTGAAAGTCCTTCCATGGCTATGGCTGCCTCCAAAGGTGACAGAAGCCTCTGTCACTTGCTTGTCTTATAATGAACAGCATCTTTGGGTGGCTTAGGGGGAAACAGTGCAGCTCGAAGTGTGGGGTCCATAATACGTTGAAACATTTCCCGCGGGAAGCCACATGGCTCTGCCGCAATTGTTGGATACTTTCGACAACAAATGCCTGATATGGGCTTTGCGCCGAGCGAATTGGACAGAAATAAGCTGTGGCGTCCAGAGGATCATGTGCGCTAAGGAGTGACGCGAATCCGAGGCTGTGATGGCTATGCAAGTGAAATGACGCTAGTAACCGTGTGTAACCCGAGGCAGCCACACGTCTAAGACGTGTGCATGCGAAGTTCAGGAGTATCTGGATGTGTAGTCCTTCGCCGAGGCCATCATCCCGGTCTTGTAAAGTGCTGTGCCGTCTTTGCGCAGCTGTGTTCCTGTGTTAAGTTTAGTTGATTGTCATGCGGGGGTTTGCCTGACGAAGAGGGACTTATACCACTGTCTATGTAGGTGTGTCTATATTCAAGCTGATCACAAGTACACGGCTCAAGGGACTGTGAGTTGAATATTCGCAAAAAATGAATGATGAACGGAGGGTCTGATAGAATATATTGCCTAGACGCGTTGTCGCTTACTCCTTCGCGTAGGGTCCTGCTTCACTTGCACAATTGGGCTCTCGTCTGGCAGCGGCTCCTTCTTGATCCGCTTCCGTTTTGTCACCTCCTTCTTCACTGCAGTTTCTATCACAGTCTCGTCATCCTCCTTTTTGATCACGACCTCTTCTTTCACCTCTACTTTGGCAACCACTCGTTCCGAAAATGCCTTTAGATCCGCCGTAAATAATACAGAATGCGCCCAACCTGCTTCCTTCCCCCATAGTTTGCGGAACAAATTGCCTATAGCAACATATGTTGCTGCTGTCAAGCTGCTGTGTTTGCCTTTGCCGAAGCGATAGTCGCGCTGCGCAATCTGCCAAACATGGGTATCGACCGGCACAGACTCGGACCAGCCGAGACCAAAAAGGCACACACAGTCTGCAACTTTGGGGCCTACACCATGAAGTGCGAGTAGCTCCTCATGTGCTTTTCTGTACCCCTCTCGACCACCTTCAAGCATGTCCCCAGCTGGCTTCTCTTCAACGCCAAACTGAGGATATTCGGGGTTGCTTAGATCTTCGAGCCACTTCAAACCCTTGTCCTCTGATACTATGCGTGCAGTCTTAGCGATGTACTTTGCCCTGTATCCAAAGCCAAGCTTCATGAGATGGGCTTCTACGTCTGGACCAGAGAGAGCGGCGGGTGTGGGAAAATCGTGATAGGGAACCTCGTCGATGTGCCCGATCAGAGGTCCATAGTGCAGGCAGAGGTTGTGTACCATGCCGGATATGCGGCCGATGTTGTTGTTGCTACTGCATATGAAGCCAATAAGTGCTTCCCATGCATCTTGTCGCAGTATGCGTATGCCTGTGAATTTGGGTGCTCGCTTCCTGAAGTTGGCATCTGAAGCTGCCCATTGCTCGTATAGATGGCCAAGGTTTGGCGAGAGGTTGAAGTAGTGGTTGACAAGGGCAAGTGTGTCATCTTCTTCGGGGGCGACGGAAGGCGCATTGGACGGAGGTGGCGTGGGCAGTGCGGTGGTAATGGATGGGTATATGGCTCGGTAGTGTAAATATTGGGGATCCTGGCGGAGAGAGAGGATGCGACCATGGAGGGCTGCTGACCATTCGCCTTCAGCAGACTTGCGCCACCTGAGGGGGCATGTTAGCAGTGTTGGCGATCAAGATGCGACCATGTAGAGCATCGTACCGGAAAGACTGCCCGCAGCGCAAGGTAGTGTCAATGCATAGTTCGGTAAGGCTTGTAGGCAGCTTGTGCCATTCTGCGGCGCGCAACGCCATGGTGGGTCTATGGTGTGGGTGTGGTGTAGTTGGGAGAGTGAATGTCCCTCTCTCTGTATACTCCCAGTCGCATGTCCCTTAATTAGTGACGGGGGTCTGGGAGTAGCCCCGGCGACAGGGGCGGGCGGTGCCAAGGGCGCGCTAGGACAGCCCCGACTTTCTCTCTCGCACCTTTTCCGCGACCGCAGACGCAACCACCGCAGAAAGCATCGCGTCCCATAGTCCGGACCATTGCGGGCTTGATCCATCCACCATCGCCTGATCTAGCTCTGCTGATTGCAGCTTCTGCCCCCGTGTCCTTGTGCTCGCCTGCAGAATCTCACGCGGCTGTACGTTACCACCGCGATAGCTCCCATCAACACTACCACCATGAACGGCGATAGTTATTCCCGAGGTAAGCCGGCTAGACCAGTACACGTACTGACTGGTGTGCAGTTCCAAAGATGTAAAATACTAACATAAGCAGACGGCGGTCGATCAGCTGGATCCCGCAACTACGTGAGTTCACATCACCGGCGCGCCACTGGCACACAAATACTAACAGCACAGTCTTCGAGAGATGACCACCGTGATCGCGGTGACCGTGGTGATAGGCGCCGGCGCCGTTCTCGCTCCCCGCGCCATGGCGGAGGCTCCCGCCGCGACTATGAAGTAGACACGTACTCGTCCAGCCGCGACTACCGTGAGCGCGAGCGCGAAGATACATATGCCCGTCGTGAAAGGCGGGATGACCGGGGTGAGCGTGGAGGAGATCGGGGCGGATGGGGAGACTCGTACTCTAGGCGCGACCGACCCCGAGGAGACCGCGGAGGAGACCGCGACCGCGACCGTGGAGACGACGACCGTGGACACCGCCGGGACAGAGACCGTAACGAGAGGGGTGGCGACAGGTTTGGTGATGAGCGAAGGGGTGGCCGAGGTGGACGCGACGGAGGCTTTGGTGGTGGGCGTGATAGGGCGCGCCAGCCCAAGGAAGACTCTCCTCCATACACCAAGCCGCGAGAAGCTACTCCGGATCTTGCCAGCTTCACCAACATCCTGCAGCGCCAGCGTCGCATGACACAATGGGACATCAAGCCCACGGGCTACGAGAACATCACGGCTGAGCAGGCCAAGCTGTCGGGCATGTTCCCTCTGCCTGGAGCTCCCCGCGCTGCGCCCATGGACCCGTCCAAGCTGGCGGCCTTCATCTCGCCCTCGACTGGAACTGCCACAGCCGCTGCTCTCGCCACATCGGCCGCCAAGCAGTCGAAGCGTCTCTATGTTCACAACCTGCCTTCAGGATGCACGTCGCAGGAGATTATGGAATTCTTCAACACCCAGCTCAATGGTCTTAACGTTGTCTCTGGACCCGATCCTTGTGTGTCGGCCCACATTGCGACGAGCAAGGAGTACGCTGCGCTAGAGTTCAAGGCACCCGAAGACGCAACCCTCGCTCTGGCTATGAACGGCATTTCTATGCGCGACGACGGTGGCGCTCCCGATCGGGCAGGCCTCTCCATCCGCCGACCCAAGGATTACATCACCCCTACTGCCGACGAGAACGCATACCCACCTGGCGACGAAGTGTCTTCTGTTGTCAAGGATAGTCCCAACAAGCTCAGCATTGTCAACATCCCTACATATATTGAGGAGGAGCAAATTCGTGAGCTTGTCGAGACTATGGGCAAACTCAAGGCTTTCATCCTGGTCAAGGATACAAGCACCGACCAACACCGCGTAAGTTATATATTTAAACCGATCTTTTCGGTTTGCTAACAATGCTCTAGGGTATCGCTTTCTGCGAGTATGCTGACAACGAAATCATCGACGCCGTCATTGAAGGTCTGAACGATATTCCACTCGGCGATGGTAATCTCAAGGTGTCGCGTGCGACTGTCGGTCTTCAGCAGACTACTGGTCTGGATGGTGGAGTTGGTGCCATCTCTATGTTGGCGGGAGCAAGCGCCGCAGAGAACCGTGAACACAGCCGCGTTGTTTGCCTCATGAACATGGTGACTTCGGATGAGCTACTTAACGACGAGGAATACGAAGGTGAGCACAGGCAGATACTCACGGATTTGACATGACACTAACATCAGTTCAGAAATCAAGGAAGACATCGAAGAGGAGTGCGGCAAGTATGGAACGATCCTCGAGACCAAGATTCCTCGTCCTACCGGAGCTCGCGTCAATCTCGGTGTTGGCAAGATCTACATCAAGTACCAGGACACAGAGTCAGCGCAAAAGGCCATCAAGGCGCTCGCTGGTCGTCAATTCTCCCGAAGAACAGTCGTGGCAACCGAGTTCTCGGAAGAGGGCTTTGACGTGGATGCCTGGTAGACTGTTTCTATCGCTTTATGTTCTGTGTTCGGTGGGTTTTGTCCATATGGCATGCTATTTTTGCTGGGTCGGGGTGTACCAAAAATGAAGAACAGGCTCAGCATTTGTATACTAATTTGATTGTAGGGGAAGCCAGTATGCATGGGAGCGTTGCAGTACTGGCAATTTGCTTGTGTTTTGATTATGTCGCCTACGTAGGCGGATCGCACTTTCCATGGTCTGCCTGAAATATGATATGGCATTTGTTCTCTGTTTGATTGAAGTATGGATACGATAAGGTTGTGACGCGCTTGGATTTGACGTTCATCATGGCGCGTACGTAGGTTGACGTCGAAATTAGAGTGCTGATGCGTCAGCAATCTCATCACAACATGTAAATTCACCAACTCCCTTGCGACTTCGTCTGTATGCTTCCGAGTACGAACGGTCCAGCCTATGGCGTAGAAATCGTCCGTAACATTTCAGGTATACGTGCATGTGAAGCATATCGGCGCAATATCAACGGAGGTAACCCGAGTTAACTCCGTCTATGACACCTTCAAGTCGATATTAGAAACGTCTCCACCACCAAGCAGTTGGACAAAGCAAAGTTCGTCCGCCGCTACTTCTCAACTCGGACTAAGGGCTTCAATGAAGTGTAGGCATCCTCAATTGACGTCGGCGACATGACGCTTTGACAGGCCATTCGCGTCTTGCCTTAAAACCGCGCGATACAAACAGTCCTTAAACCCGGCTGCCCGAGGAGACCCCGTGCTTAGCCCACACAGGTGTTAACGGTGATACCAATGCGGAAAAATGTATCAAAAAGACATCTAAAACCCCAATTCCTGCACCAATTCCAGTCTCAACCTACTAAATTACGATTCACCAACTGAACCTCCCCAACATCACCCACAATGGCAAGCTTTGCCCGCTTCTTCTACTCCCAACTCTTCGTCACACCTCCACCCCCCACGGCTGACCTAACCGGTAAAACTGTCCTCGTAACTGGCTCCAACACCGGCCTGGGCAAAGAAGCATCCCGTCACTATGTCTCCCTCAACGCCTCAACCGTCATCCTCGCCGTGCGCTCCATCGAAAAAGGCGAAGCAGCCGCCAAAGACATCGAGACCACCACCGGTCGCCAAAATGTAATAAAAGTAATGCACCTCGACATGTCTTCCTACCAATCCGTACTCGATTTCGCTTCTACGGTAAGCAAAGAGGTCCCCCGCCTCGACATCGCCATTCTCAACGCCGGCGTAAACCGCGGCGTGTGGGAAATCTTCGAACAAGACGAATCCACCATTACCGTCAATGTCGTTTCCACTTTCCTTCTCTTCTTCTCTCTTCTCCCCAAACTCAGGGATACGGCAAGCAAATTCAATGTGCGACCGACACTCACGGTTGTGAGTTCGGAAGTGCATCAGTGGACGGGGTTTGCGGAGAGGAAAGCACTCGAGGGGAAATTGTTTGAGCGGTTGAGGGAGGAGGTTGTAGCGGGAAAGAAGGTGGATTTGAATGAGAGGTATTGTGTTAGTAAGTTGATGGAGGTGCTCACTGTGAGGGAGTTTTGTGCGAGGAATAAGGGTGGGGAGTGTCCGGTCACGGTGAATACTGTTAATCCGGGGTTGTGTCATTCGTGAGTCCTATTTTCCCTTTTCAATTTTCACTGTCTTTGAGGATGGCGGTGTCTAATTGTGAATCACAGAGAGTTCGGTCGCGAAGCCCCCTTTGTCGCGGCTATATTGCGTTTCTTCCTTGCTCGCACTACGGAAGTTGGGTCGAGGACGCTGGTGCATGCGGGGTTGCGGGGTGAAGAGACGCATGGAAAGTATTTGAGTGATTGCGAGATTACGGAGCCGAGTACGTGTGTTAGGAGTGAGGAGGGAAAGAAAGATCAGGAGAGGGTGTGGAGGGAGTTGATGGTGAAGTTGGAGGGGATCAAGGCGGGGGTCACGCAGGGGTATTAAGGCTCGGATGAACGTTGGAGAGGTATGATATTGTAAGATATATGGTGCTCTATCTGAGCTTTTTCATGACTACACAAAACGATATGGCGTTGAGCAATACGAGTGTCTTTCCAATCTTCCAAATTGAATTAATGTCTGTCTTTCTACATGATCAGAAGTCTTCAAATATTACAGCGAACAAGAACAGTGAGATTTTTGAGCAGGTACATCACTCTGCTGTCACTATTATCTATAAAACAATGCCATATTCACAAAGCTACCTTTGTGTAATGACTGCCATGTATTCGGTGTCGCTCCACGCAGTACCAGGCTAGAACCACACTGATACGCTACCGTGTAGACGAGCGCAAGTATCCTGCTGACACCCAAGCACCTCATCAGGTTAGTAGATACATACCCCACACCCAGAGGTATGGTAAGGGTGGGGTAGGGGTAGTGTCGCATAGACCAAGGATCCAAGTACGCTTATGTTGGACATCACCTCTACCAGACAATCACTTATTTACCGTCCTAAAGAAATATTAGCGAGGCCTGTTTGGTCTATAACGAACTTAATACACAGCTACTACGCCTCTGTAGTATCTGCAAGATCGATTTTTTATAACGAGCAACAATATGGGTCGTCCTTGGTACCAAGCCCTGATACGTTCGGAACGCCCGGGACAGCCCAGGTACCTACGTATCTTGGCAGTTGTAAAGCCTAGCATCAGAAGACTAGTACTCCGGACATCACATAGGTATTCTGTATGTAGAAAATGATTGATTGAGGTACTAGCCGTCGGCAGCGCTTGCATGCCGAAGAGTATCGCAAGTAGGATTAGGCGAATGTTTGATATATGCTCATTCAGCTTGTTAGGCACAAATTTTCTGGTTTTGTAGAGCATATTTGAGATGGAAGAGCCCTTGATGTTAGAGGGAGGTCTTGTTCATCTTGTTGTATTAGTTGAGGGCTGAGTTTTTATCTTATTGATTATCAAGATCAGTACATGGAGTAGGTCTGCCGTGGCCAAGTCGGTATTAGATGATGATCCTGTGACTGTGACAATTTATCTTGATTTTCTAGTTTTATTAGTCAGATAAGAGCCTTAA